CCCCAAAACCCCAAAACCCCAAAACCCCTAATAGCTCAGGCTAAATAAAAAGAAAGAAAATAAGATTATAATTAATCAAGAAGTCTATAATAAATGAGCAAAAATTAATATTCGAGCAATAACTAAACAGGAGCAGCTGTGTAAGATTCTGCTGACAAAAAAAATCAAGGAGCCACGACTAATCTTCAAGATTTCAAGATACTTACTAAGCTTGGTAATTACAAATCTATATAAATTGACTATCCTCTGAATAACGATAAAAATAGGTGAGGGAGCTTACAGTAGTGTTTACAAGGTATTGCGTTTGGCTGACATGAAAGAATATGCGCTAAAGAAGGTCAAGCTATTAAATTTATCTGATAAAGAACGAGAGAACGCTCTTAATGAAGTACGAATTTTAGCAAGTATAAAATAAAAAAATGTGATCAGTTACAAAGAAGCCTTCTGGGACAATGAAGCTCAGTCATTATGGTAAGTCAATTACACTATCGATAATATAAGTTATACGCACTTTGCTCGACGCTATTAGTGCTTGGATACATTCAGCCTCAATAATTAATAAAAATGCATTAATTATTCCAAGAATGATTCAATAATTTTTTTATAGCATTGTGATGGAGTATTGTGATAACGGAGACTTATTTTAAAAAATATGCGAACATCAAAAAAAAGGCACTGAGTTTTTAGAAAACGAAATTTGGAAAGTCTTTATTCAGGTAAAATATCCAAAATAATCATGAATATAAATAGGTTGTTAAAGCTCTTAAAGCATTACATGAAATGAGAATCATGCATAGAGATTTAAAAGTAATTAAAAAAAATCCTTCAAGTTTTATTTTAATCCATAATTTATTTTTAGTCTGCAAATGTATTTCTCTATAAAGATTGGACGGCTAAACTTGGAGATATGAATGTTTCCAAAATATCCAATTACAAAGGTCTCAATTACACTCAAACTGGTACACCTTATTATGCTAGTCCAGAAGTTTGGAAAGATGAACCCTATGACTCTAAGAGTGATATTTGGTCTTTAGGTTGTGTTTTATATGAAATGATAACTTTGAAACCACCATTTAGAGCAGATGATATGCAAGGATTATATAAAAGAGTCCTCAAGGGAGTTTATCAAAAGATTCCAAATCATTTTTCTTAAGATTTGTCAAACGTTGTTTCAGCACTACTCCAGACTAAACCTAGCCTAAGGCCTAGTTGTGAATAAATTTTAGAGTTGTCCTCAACTATGAAAAGATCTGAAAAATTTTTCCCAGAGGAAGTCTTTAATGATAAGTCAACATTAGTTCAAGAAATAAGAGTTCCTAAAAATCTCATGTATCTAACTGATAAACTTCCAGGTCCAAACTATGAAGAGAAAGGCAAATTTTATAAAAATAGGTCTGAGGTCAAAATTAAATTGCCTAAATTAACAGGTTCAGTAATTGGAAACTCTAATAGCCAAGCCTAAATTGAATATTAATTACCTGGTATTGATTCTAAAAATTCCAAGGGCTCAAATGGACTAAATTAATAAGTATCTATAACTGAATAGGTTGAAAGTATAAATCCATCAGGGTAAAAAAAGAATATTTAACAGTAGTAAATTATTATTCAGGTTAATTAGAAAGGCAAAGACAAGAAATCTAATGGACTTAAAGTTTCCTCATTAAATTAGCCTAATTCAGGAGAAAAAGCAAATAATGGCATCAATATCAGTCATAATTCAAGAGATAATTAAACTAAAATATAAAACTAGGCGACTTTACTCCCAGAAATAAATCATTCTATGATTCTTTCTCCAAATCATAAACCTATAAAAGCTTTATTAAATGAAGATTCCTAAAACAAAAGATCAAAAAACAGAAATAGGTCAAGAGCTTCAAGCAGGTTTAGTTCAGACAAAAAGGATGCAATGAGTTCTTCTGATAATCTGGATTCTGTACTAGCTTAGTAAAGAAGCATAGGAGAAGAAAGAGTTAGTGTCCTGAGTCAAAATGAAATTACTGACGAGTAAAATGATGAAATGGATGATCTTCCTCCTCCTATTAATTCCAAGTCTCCAAATATAAAATCTTACTCTTCAAAACTTTAGCAAATGCAAAATAATTAAAGCAGAAATGTCTTATCCTAGATGGAGGATTATTCAAAGTTATCAGCAAATATTAATCCAAATAATTCAATTATTTAAGATGATGATTCGCCGTAGAAACAATATGGATATAGATATTCTTCACTCTAGCCTGTGAGGAAAAATTAAGAGTTATTATAATAAAGGCTGCCAGATGTTGCTAAAAACGTTGAAATGAGTTTGCCTTAAATCAAGAAAGTTCAACCATAAATAGTTGACTAAAGTTAATTACAGTATCAATACGTAAACTCAAATGTCAGAAGTTTATCCCCCTATAGAAATCCATCTCTGATTTAACCAATTTAATCAAAATAAGATCTATACAAACTTAAATAATCAGGAATAGCAGCACCATAAAAATCATAATCTAGTGGAAAACTTCCTAAGATTAAAGGCTAAGATTAAATAATGAGGCAAATGCAGAAATAATAATACTTCTTAAAAGGTAGCCCCAAACTCTAAAATATGTATTACAGAGTAGCTAATTCATATCTTAAAGGGTATCCGCCTTAAATGAACATTGTTGGAAACTCAGTAAAGAATAGTTATCAAATTTACGGTGGTATAATGAAACCATTCCAAGATGACACAGTACTATAATCTGCTTAGTATTAATCTGAAAAGCCAAAGATTCAAAAGATTGGGAAAATTTAAAATCCCTTGAAGAAAGATTAAAGATAAGTTTACCTTTAATCGGTTATTGAAGATAATTAGAGCATTCATCCCTTACTCAATAGACCAACAAAAAAGAAGGTAGGATTGCAATAGTAATCAATAGATATGCTGAGTCCAGGCAAAATTACTACTGATCTTTTGCAAAGTATCAATGGAGGAATTCAGAAGCCTCAATTTTAAGGTTTAGATGGGATGAATCTTGTTTTGCCTAAGAATCATTCCTCTGTTTTACTCAAATACTAGATCTAAGAGACTAAATAATGATTGAAACCTATAGTAAGACCTAATTATTATTAATCATATATGTTTATTATGCTTATTACTTAAACTCTTCATACTATTAAAACTATTCAAAGATTTGGCTGCTTTTTATTTTCCTTGAGTTTCAGTATCATTCTCTCAAGTTCTTCTCTCTTATTCTATTCGTAGATTAACTTGTCCTTGAGTTCTTAAACTCTTGTATCGTATTCTTATTTATCAAATTTCCTATAGCTGTCCTTACTCTATTAGTGATCATCAATTTAGCCTTACTCATCATCAGAGTAAGGATCAAGATCTCTATCACTAATTATGTCATCGTATAAATCCTGATCTTATAAATCTCTGTTTAGGGAATTTTCAGATTCATTTTCATCCCTTATCGTTTCTATAGGATTAATCTAGCTTCTATATCTTTGCTTGGCTCGCTCAGACTTAATACTTTAAATATCTTGCTAGCTACCTTTTCTTGACCTATCTAAATATTCTTAGGCTTGACTGATTATTTCATCCTTTGCTTTTTGAGATCTTTTTCTATTTACAAAATTTTCTAAGTTTTACCATCTTTTTGAAAAAGCAGAATCACTTATTTAAGATTGACCATTTTCTGAAGGCTAAAGATCTCTTAAAGTATATTAATTAGTTTTAAGATTTACCCCTATATCCTCCTTTGATAGTTAATTTAAATTCTTTCTGTTAAGTGTACTTCCTGATTACTAGGATTAATTACTTCTTCTCTTAATTTGCAGCCTCGTTGATTTAGGCATATTTCTTCTAGGATCGTCGTAATTAATTTCAACATCCACTTATGAATATGCGTTTTCCTTTATTGAATTCTACTTTCCCACTACTGAAATTGTATCTCTATTATTGCTATAATTTCTTCTTGGATCAAGTGTCTAAATAGTATTTTTAATTATTTCCTTTGGCCTGATACTTATCAAATTTCTCTCTGAGTTTTAGAGATAATCACTTGTATTTTATTTAAGCTAAATAACAGACTTAGGCTAATTTTCCTGCAAATATTTGTAAAAGTTTTAAGCGTTGAAGTTTTTTTATTTATCTTAATTCTTAGGTGAGTCTTGCAACGAGGTAAATTTCTTTGACTTTTTGCTGGTGGAACTAACATTCAAAGACGTCATTAGGGAGTTCTAATTAGCTTTATCTTTAGTCTTTTTGATGTTTTTTATAATGTATGATTTCATATTCATCCTCATTTGTCTTCTAGCTTGCTCAATTTTGTCAAATTTTCCATAATCTAAAATTTTTTCTGCTATTACTAAATTGTGTTTTTTATCTAACTCACTCTTAGCATCTCTATATAAAGGAATCTAACTTTCATAATCCAGTCTTTTGGTATGATATTGTGAGTAGATTGTTTTAGGAACAACTTCATTTGATACAACATTGTAGTTATGATTGGAATAATTAATAAAATTTAGAGGCTTCTTTTAAGCTTCTTTGGTGCTATTGAAAATCTCTAAGTATGTCTACTTATTTAACTTTTGAGGAGAGAGAGGTCTGGTGTATACTTCTTCTATGTTATAAGTTTACTTATTTGAAATATTTGGAAAGAGCTCTTTTAGTTTTTCAGGGTCTATTCCTTCATACTTTCTAAATGATTTAAAGAGGTTATAAATTGAAGACATACTTTCTTAGTTCTAATTCTCTGTTTTTAAACATCTATTCCTTCATTATTTGTAGAGATAAGTTTTTATTATAGATAGAACTGTCTCTAAATTTTTGACTGTCTGGAGGATGCCAGCTATCTCTTGCCGATTAAGAAATAAAACTTTAACTTAGCCGATGCCTTATGATGACTGTGGGCTTTATCGTTACTGACATTAAAATGAATTTATTTTTGAATATACTTGATTAATTAAAAGATAAACCGTGGGGTTTTGGGGTTTTGGGGAGATCGGAAGAGCGTCGTGT